TATCTACTCCAAAGCCTACAAAATACCCTAAACCATTCAAAATAAAAATCAAGTGGATGATTTTAGAATATTCACTCCGTGTCGTTTCATTTCGTAACACCAATTTCTTACGTGGTTCACGTGGTTATAAAATACAAATATATGTAAACATATAAATATAATGGTGTAGTACATAAATGTGTTCTTTAATTTAGTTTTGTTTTATGTTTATGTTCTCTAATTTTAAATATGCGCAAATAGACACTTAAACTTGTATAAAGTAGAACAAGTAAACATATAAATTCTACGTGGCACAATACATGTAGGATACCACGTAGGACATGTGTGTCTATTTATTTAACTTTATACAAGTTTACGTGTCTACTTGTGCATACCCGAAGTTGAAGGTCATAAATATGATTTGAAACTAAGTTAAAGATCATATTTATTTATTACGCCTATTTTCTTTATCGCTTATCTTTAGTTTAAAACTTGAATTTTGCTTGGAAAATGAATTTGGCCAAAAAAAAAAAAGCTCAAGCCTTAAAGGGTAAAAAAAAAAAAGGGAAAATGCACAAGTACACCTCGATCTATGCTCGAAATTCTAGAGACACAATTATACTATATAAAGGTCCTTTTACCTTCCTGAACTTATCTTATAAGTAATTTTCTACCTCTTTCGGTCTACGTGACACTAGCTTGAAATAAAAAGTCAATCAGCGTTGGACCCACAAGATAGTGTCATGTAGGACAAAAATGGATTGAAAATTATTAATAAAGTAAATTCATGGGGTAATAGAACCTTAATATAGTATAAGTGTATTTCTGAAATTTCGAGCATATATTAAAAGAGTACCTGTGCATTATCAAAAAAAAAAAAACATATGTAAACACGCTCAATATTGAGCGAAACCCGCTCGGCTAATATATGATGGTATGTATACTACTCACTATCTTTTGTTTAAAAATTGTGTCTTTTGGCATACTTCAAGTGGAAAAACATTTCCACTATAACAAAAGTTGGATAAATTATTATTAATTTTGATAAAATGTACACTTCCAATATTCAGATATTAAACTAAAAAGAAAGCTCAGTAAGGTTCCTAACATCCATCATCACATTGTTTAATGATTCCATGCTAAGGTAGTTCTTCCTTTTATTTATTATTATTAGTATTAGTTATCATGAGCGAATCACTTTCAAGAACAATTGTCATGATCCGAAGTTTTAGATTATAATGACACCTACTAACATAGGTAAGCCGAACCTATAGCTCAAAACCAACTATCACATGAAAGAGAAACATATGGAAAGCAAGGAAAAAATATCATGGCAAGTTTCTTGAATCTCCATTCAGAAACAATATATTCTTTTTAAATACAAAAACTTAAATCTAAAATACAAACACACGAGAGTAATCCAAAGTTGCTTCTCTCTTTTCCGGACAAAGCCAAATTATTATTTTTTATTTCGTTTCAATTATTTTTATCTTCTTCAAAAATCATCATCAAAATTGTCCATCTTCAACTCTTTCTTGTTTGTACCTATTTTACTTTTCACATAGTTGATCGACCTAGTAGGCTTGGTTTCAACCTTGACTAAAAAGCTTCAACTATTTCAGAAGATTCAACTTTGAGTTTCAAGCTCAACAATTCTTCCCAATAATTTAGGAATCACAAATTTGGATCTTGGATCAATATAATCATCATTCCAATGCCAAAAATGGCACTATCTAGCATACTAAAAATAACAAAACGAATCAATCTATTCCTCTTGAAGATCAATCTTTAAAAAAATATAGTAAACGACAACCTCAATATCTTTTGCCAAAATTTTATGGGGTCCAAGAGGTCAGTAAATACAAAACAGGTTCATGTTATGCATTGCACCTTTTCTAATTCATGATCTTCATCTCGCATACAGTGCCTAGTCAAGAAGCCATTAAGAGCCTGTTTGGCGCAGCTTAAAAGCTGGTCAAACTGACTTAAAAGCTGGTTTTTGACTTATTTAACTGTTTGGCAATACTCAAAATAGCTTATTTTAAGTTTAAAAAAACTTATTTTAAGCCAAAAGTTAAAAGTTGGGGTAGGGGTGCTTTTTTTTTTTTTAGCTTATAAGCTGTTTTAAGTTGACCATATTTTTATGTTTTTTCCCTTAATACTTTTTATACAATCTCCAAATGAACCATATAACCCTAACATCTCTTTCTTCTATTTTTCCCTTTTCACGTTTGGCATAACAACTTCAGCACTTTTATCCAAACGCATAACTGCTTATTTTAAAAATAAGTTTCAACACTTTCAAAAGTACTTTTTTAAAGCTGCTTTTATTAAGCTCATCCAAACGGGCCCTAAGAAGCTCTATAATAATTATAGCGACTTGATTAATCAAATAACTCGATTAAAAGGAATTAAAAAAAACGAAAATGAGAGAAAGAAATCAAAATGAAAAAGCGAGAAACAAATCAAAATGGAAAAGAGATGAATGAATGATAATGAAAAGAGTTACATAATTTTTTATTTTTTTTAACAAAAAATCAAGTTTGAAATTGAATTTGGGGCTTCAGATTTTTGGGTGAAAATTTAGGGTTCTTGAGTTAGCTTTGATGAGAATTCGGGTCGAGTGGGTTGGTTATAAGAGAAACAACCATTGGGGCATTTTTAATTAAATAAAAAAAATTGGGTTTATTAATGTGTTGACACGCTCTAATATGCCGATTGAAACGTGTCTGAGAGTGGGTGACATACTAGATAAATAAACACACTTTTGAGTAGTATAGATGTGTGTAATAAGTCGTCCTAATAGTTGAAACGTGTAACTGACTTTTCGCTGCAACTTCAGGGGGAAATTTAATTATGTCTTTTCCCTTGATGCAAACATAATTAATACAAACATTATTTTGATACATTTTATTTAATATTATTCTTATACACCCTATCAGACTACCCCTACATGTTTGTTCAACTTTAGACCAAAAGATAGGTATACGACATAGGCGAATGGGAAAGGATAATCACTTTGGTAGGTGAAATAAAGAAAATACCATCAAGAGCCTTTTGGTGTTAGGTGTAAGGTGTGCGTATATATATATATATATATATATAAAAGAAACCTAGCTAAACAAGCCTACATGGCCCCACCACATACCAAAATTCTCTTTTAATTTATTTTATTTTCAAAATTAGTTTTCTCCTTTCATGAAAAGTTGTGACTTTTATGAAAAAATTTTACTTTTATAAAGAGTTGTGACTTTTATGAAAAATTGTGCATTTTATGAAAGGTTGTAATCTTTTCGACGGGTTATAACTTTTCAAAAGAGTATAACCTTTTCGAAAAGTTGTGACTTTTATGATGAGTTGTCTCTTTTATGAACTAACGTAACTTTTATGAAATGTTGTAACCTTTTTGAAGGGTTGTAAGTTTTCCAAAGAGTTGTAACCTTTTTGGTAAGACAAAATAATAATTTGTTCGCACTACCCTTTGCTATCTATAAATATAGGAATTTGCTCTCATTTAAAACAACATTCTTCTTCTGTTTCTTTTGTGGACAATTAAATATTTATGTATTTGTTCCTATTGAATGAATCACCGACACCATTATTTTTGTATCAATACACCGGTGAATAGAATTGTTTTATCTTGAGAGGATCTATTCCTTTAAACATTGGGCACTAAAAGGGAATAATTTTCTTAAAGGGACATTGTGCATTCAATGAGCTCGAATTTTCCATTCTGTTTCATTCTAATTTTGAGGATCCTGGTTTGTTTTTTACGATCATTAATATATGCTTATATTATTAATTATTATTTTTAAGTACATGCTTTAAACTTTGTTGTTTATGTTTATGAAAAGTTATTCTTATAATTATTTGTTAGTACATATTAAATAACTAACGTTAATTGGGTATTCAAGCAAGTTTTCTCTACTGAAATTGTTGAAGGAACAATTAAAAAAAGCTTACAAATGTATAATTTCATCAGCAACGTTATTTCTTCACATACGAGGATGCGCTTTGGTGTTCTTTAAAAAATTCTCTGGATGTTAATAACTTTATATGCACATATGTTTTTTGTTTTTATGTTGTTGCTATCTATTTTTATAAAATTTTATCAGCGAATATTATGAGTACATGAAGCATTGAAAGTTGATTGAACTGTTCGTCAATTTTTTGTGGTATGCTATTTCAAAACGTAGAAACTTTCCTGATTAGAATGATTTGTTATCATCATTGGATATATCATAGTTTACTCCCTTTAATGTATATTTTTCTCGCAATTTTTTTGTTCCTTAAAATTATATTAATTATTTTTCGTTTGGTCTATATATTATCTCACTTGGATAATTTTTTTTTGTTCTTTTAATGATTTTCTTTGGTCTATATATTATCTCACTTGGACAAATTTTTTGTTCTTTTAATGATTTTCTTTTTTTTCTTTCTCATTCAGCTCTTCTAAATATTTTTTTGTGAGCTATGACTATTTTTGACAAACTTACTTTGAAAAATATGAAACAAAACTCACTCCAAATAAAAGTAATAGGAAAAGCGCACAATATCTCCTCAACATATGCTTGAAATTCCACACATTTATACTCACTACAAAAAAATCTGGATTGAGCGACAGACGAGATTTGTCGCTATACAATACAAATCCGTCGCTAAAGCCATTTAGCGATAGATTATCATCAGTCGCTAAAATGCGCGTAGGTAAGCCTTTAGCGATGAAATACTAAAATCTGTCGGTACTTTTGCTACGAATTAGCGACAAACCAAAATGTCGCTATATTTAGCGACAGAACATTTTTGAAGTTAATACATAAAATATCCGTCACTACTGTATTTATTGAATTTGTCTAAAAATATTAGATTCAAATATTCTGTAGTTATTCCATCGCAATTCTAAAATGTTATTTTTAAATTACTTTTTATTTTATATTTATCTGCAAAATAATCATCATTATTTTTTACTAATATCATCTAAAATTCCAATAGAACAATAAAATGAAAAGTTATAGATTGAATTAGCATAAGAAGAACCTAATTTTATATAATGATAACATTAGATTAACAAGTAGAACAAAAATTACATATCTCCCAAAGCTTGAACAATGTACATAATCATTTTTCAACTAACAAAGTAGAGTTATATCAAACAAAGCTAACTTGTATGGTGCTTGAGAGTGAAATTCATCACGATTAGAAGTATAACCTAAGGTCTTAACATGTGTTCCCTTGAGACACAAGGTCATAAACTCTTCTCTTCATCACTCATCCATGATCTCATAATACATCCGCATTGCAACCTTCATCTCATCCTTACTATAATTGTTGTTAAAATCATTATTCCTCTTAAGAATTCTTGAGCTCTATATCCTGTAAATAAAAGTAGATGAATAACTTTAAGAAATTGCACAGGTATTAAAAGTGTTCGAAATTCTTGGTTTGAGTTTGTTGATTAAATAAAATATGTGAATTCAAGAAAAATAAACAATATTTAAATTTTTGCATTTTTGTTTTCATTGTTAATGTACAACATACATGTGATACTTGAATGTCTGAACCACTCACTGAAAGGATGATGAAGATTGACAAGCTTAAGATCCCTTCATAATTCTCGGGAAAGGTATGATCCTCGGTTGCCACTTTGTCAATATCTGATACTTAAGCGTGAAAGGTTCAACTCGTACGCAATCTAAGAATCTAACAAAATTTAGGAGGTATTTATAGCAAAAGGTAAAAGTGAACGTATTCTAATTCACTAGCGATCCACATCAGCTAACTTAGCTTATTATACTTTTAATATGTACACCAATCGACGAAACCCAAATACAAAAAAGGTCATATGCACCTTTCTTTCTTCACTTTCACTAACAGATTAAAAAAAATACTCTACATGAAGTTACAAGTTTTCCACCCTGAACCAACTAACAAAATCACTCAATACCAAAGATGAGGGAAAAAGAATGAATACTATGACATATGTAGTATTTGAGGAACCTCTCCAGCAAATGATTCAATTTTTTTTTTTGATATTATAAGCCAACAACAAAGTTACCAAAACAAGAGAATGGAAACTCAATCTCAGTTTAACTGAAATAAAAGTTTTAAGAATTTGATTAGAACTTCATGGTTAAAAGTACTTCAATTCAAAATTCAATTCATACACTTCAGTTTGAAATTATTAGTCCCATAATAGTAACCATGCACAAACCAAACCATAGACAGGGTTCAACAAAAATTAGTTCATAATAGTAGCTATCACACTGATTTTGAGAGAAGGGACCACCCTTAATTTAGCTTTTTATAATAAATAGCCCTATAAATTATGAACTTAAATATCAACACAATATGGTAGTCACCCACGAACTAGTTTCTAGCTCGAGAAATTAATTAAAACTCTCAAACTCTCAGTTGGTCAGATTGTTTTTTTTTCACAGCCAATAAAAAATCTAAGAGAAATTGGTGTTGAGCAACTTACTGGAATTTTAGAAGAAAGATTGGATTCTGCAATGTTCATTCGCAATAGGCGTTGGTTCCGTCCAGTTAATCGACAATTATAAACAGCTTTTGTGCAACCTTGGATGACAAAATCTTCTTCCAATATTGAAGGTGCAACAACTATCAACAAATTTCAAATTGTCAACTAATCAAATTAGCTTCCAAACAATCTGAATAGTTCAATAATGCATATTCTACAATAAACTTAATGAAATTGTAAGTGCAGACCTTCACTTAGTATACTACATAAATGACAGTAACCTAATAAAACTATATGCAGAAAATGCAGGCATATGAATAGATAGACTGTCACTTTGTACATAAAGTGTAATCTAAATAGTTTGATATGCATATTCTACAATGAACTTAATAAACCTGAAAGTGCAGATCTCCACTTAGTAAACAACAGACATGACAGTAACCCAATAAAACTATATGCAGAAAATGCAGTCATTTGAAGAGAAGATTGTCGCTTTGTATAGAAAGTGTACTCTTCTAAGAAAAATCACATACAAGCATAATATAATTTATACTTCCCTTAATTGGAAGTATTCCACAAAATATACACTTATTTCAGCTGAGGTACTTACCCTTAGGTTAGAGATTTATGTTATATATGGTTAAAAATCTTCCTCGCTCTGTCTCGAGTCTCCTCCCCCCAATTGTGTTACAAAGTTTAACTTAAAGTTATAGCTAACAACACATGTACTTCTAAGAGAGTCTTCCTGGTAACTTAATGACCTTTCTTATCTAATAATGTTATGGATATGACAAAATCAGGCTGCAATTTCCTATAAGTTCAAGTCTCAACTTATTTAACGCGAAGGTGGTACCAGTAAAAAATAGTACACAAAAAACTTATTTTGTGGGACATGTAAAGTACATTAATAGGTCTAAGAAGCTCATATAGTCATCTTGGGGTAGTTCGCCTTACATACTTGATACAAAAAAATAAAAAATAGATATTATTAGAGGTCTTGCATTGTATACCAAAACTGTATTAGAAATGAACACGAATTAAAATCAATGCCAAAGGTATAACCAAAAACACGATGACAACCTAATTTAACTTCAATCACAACATATAATATAACAGGTTACAGGTAAAAATATTTCAATCACCATATGAAGCAACCACGTACATATATAAATAATAAGAACAAAAATACAAGGTTATTTCTCATGAAGTTTAACTAAGAAAATGAGGCTACTTCCTAGAAAGTTCAAGATTGATTGTTCATTTCCATCATAACAATAACAATTGCATGTTGATCGACAAACCACAAGTAAAAGCATATATATATATATATATATATATATAAGTAGAACACAATGGCTAATAACGAATCAATCTTACAAATAACCTAAAAAGATTAAATTCAAAGTAAAAGAGAGTAGATAAAGCTAGTCGTTGTACAAATACCACCAAGATATCCAACAAAGAACTTCAAAGAGGAAAACATTAATTCAATAAAAAAATCTTGAAGAAGGAAGACATTACATGAATTTGAGACCATATATAAAATAAGTACACATAATATGTGTAAGCAACGAATATTAATTAGTGTATATACAATGTTTAAAAAAATTTATAAGTAAGAACTAAGCAGCTAACTATAAGTAATCCTATATTTTCCTATTTCTCAAACAATAATAGGGTAAATCATTAATTCAAATTAGTCGCAACAGAAATTAATTAAAGGTCTACTTTTAATTGCAAAATCAGGGATTAACTCTTGTTTCCACTCATGCATACCATAAATAAATTTAATTATAAAAATGACAACTATTCGAATGCAAAGGAAATATATATTACCTGAGATGGAAATAGAGACATGTAAAACCCTAGAAAAGTAAAAGGCGAAGCTGTCGAGAGGAGCGAGCTGCTAGAAATGTGTAAGTTGCTTCTAGACAGAGGCGACAAGAATGTTGTCGAAAGCAACGAGAAGCTGCTGAATGGAAGAGAAATCTGCAAAGATGAGAAAGCCATCTTAGGAAGAAGAGAGTAACAAGAGTTTCTCTGTTTTGAGATATTTTTCTCAGAGATTTTAGTTTTAAATTTTATTTAGGTTAAATTTTGGTGTGTTTTAAAATATAATGGGCATAGACCCAAATTAAACATTAAAAGAAAAGAAAAAATAATTTGGTAGCTAATTTGTCGTTATATAGCGACGAAAATCAGTTTGTAGCTAAACTCCGTCGCTAAAGGCAGGTTTTTGTTTGTAGTGACTATACTAAGATCCTATTACTCTCCTAAACTTATTTTATAATTAATTTTCTACTCCATTACGGTTTACGTGGCACTAGCTTGAAGAAAAGTCAACCAACGTTAGGCTTAAAAGATAATGTCACGTAGGTCAAAAAGGGGTAGAAAATTATTAATAAAATAAGTTCAGAAGGTAATAGGACCTTAGTATAGTATAAGTGTGTCTCTGACATTTTGGGCATAGGTTGAGGGGTACTTGTGCATTATCCAAAAGTAATATATTAAACTACAAAAGATATGTCTATTAATATGGATTTGTTGTTCTTCATGTTTCAAGTCATTGCTGAGCATTTAACTTATCTAGGTTAGACTAATTTTTAATTTTTTATGTTCGAGAATATTTCTTCAGCATGAGTCTAAAAACCAACATTTTTATTTACTTGTACCGTCATAATACAACAATTATACTTACATATTTCTGAAACAGTCATAAAGTTTCATTGATGAAGCATCCTGAAGGGCCTTCAGAGCAGCAGTTCATTGAAGAATGCATTTTTAAAAGGGTCAACAATATTATTTTGTTGTCGTTTCAAATATATTTTTCTTCTCCTATAAATTTTGTTAGAGTAACAAAGTAACAATAACGAAAGTTGGTCAATGTTTAACCTCAGACAAGTAGATTGTCTCTAAAACAAATTATTTATGTTATTATGGTGTACATTTTTTAACGGTCTTAACTAATATATAAATAATATTGATTATCGAAAACTTTCACTTAATTTTTTTGCACAACGAGTTATTCTAACCATAAAATTAGCAGATTTTATATTTTTCATGTACAAAAAATAGAAAAATTAATGTTTAATCGCAGTGGCGGATCTAGGATTTAAAGGTTGTGGGTGCTCACTTCCTTTAACATAAACCTTTTAGCAATCACATAGTATAAATTATACTAACTGAAACTCTTTAATAAAAAAAAACCCTTAATTAGGAAAAGGAAAAAGTGTAAGAAAAAAAAAGGTTTAAAAAAAGCCCTTAATTAGATAGAAAAAGGGAAAAAAATAAAAAAGAAAAGAAAAAAAGGGTGCAAAATTCGTTGCAAAAAGAAAAGAAGGAAAAAAGTGCAAGAAAAAAAAGGTTTTTTTTTTTTAAAAAAAGCCCTTAATTAGATAGAAAAAAAATTAAAAAAGAAAAGAAAAAGGGTGCAAAATTCGCTGCAAAAAGAAAAGAAAAAAAGAATGGGGTGGATGGGATTCGAACCCTGCCAGTGTGCTATGCGGACCTCTTGTTTCCATGTGTAAACATGCGCTTTCATGACTGCTTTCATACTATATATATATATACACACACACACATTTTTTTGGAGTCAATGGGTGCTTGAGCATTCGAAACTCACTTACTGGGTCTGCCCCTATTTAATCGCTACATTAGAACGTACTCAATTTTAACCAGATAATTGTGTCATCAAACATATATTATGATACATTATGTTAAAGATAAAAATGATTAGATGTCATGACATTTTTAGTCATTAATTATATATTTAGGATTCCTGAGATATGTGAGGATGTCAAATTATTTATTTATTTTCAAAACTAGTCTTACCCTTCAAGAAAAGTTGTGACTTTTATGAAGAGTTGCAACTTTAATGAAGACTTGCGACTTTTAAAAAAATAGTGACTTTTATGAATAATTACGACTTTTATGAAGAGTTGTGATTTTTATGAAAAGTTATGACTTTTATGAAAGGTTGTGACCTTTGTTCTTCTTCTTCTCAACTAAATATTTGTGTACTTAGTTCCTGTTAATTGACTCACTTACAACATTGCTTATGTTACAGGTCTTGGTATGTATTTTTAAAAGTTATTAAGAATAAATGATAAGATGTAATAAATTTCATTTTCTTTTACATTATTAATGTTTATTACCACTTAATCTTAAATGTAAGATAATATAATGTTTTAATTTTAATGATTGATAGTTTTAAAATATTATATATAAATTCTGTGATATAAAATTTCCGCGCGAAGAACGGGTAATTTTACTAGTCTCATGATAATATATAGGATTATTTTAACCCATATTTGGTTGGAAATATTAGATAGTCTTTCGATTATTTATTCCATCACTTTTGTCATATGATGAGATAAATTATCTTATATACATAGTGAAATAATTTATCCAAAATAATTTGTTTCCAATCAAACGACCCCTTATTTACAATTGAGTGACCAAAAACATACATGTGAAACCCTCTTTTTTTTCTCCTTGTTGTTATATAAGGAAAAAAAAAGAAAAAGAATGCCACTATTCTTTTTTTTAAATAAAAAACACTAATTTCTTGCCATGATTTTTGTAAAAAAGTCACATCAAGGTTTCAAAATAAATGGGTAGTGACATAAGTCTTAAGTATTGGGTGTAGGTGACAATTATGTGATTAATGATTAAGGATTGTGGAGTTGCCCTCAAGTTTATAAGTTGACAAATTTGGTCCACTGAATTAAATGAAGGGTAAAAGGGTAATTTCACAATATCTAATTTAACCAACATTTGGTGGGAATTAACCACATGTTGAGCCAAAAGAGGAAATATTGAGCCAATTTTGGTGGGAAAATATTGAGCCAATTTTGGTGGGAAAATATTGAGCCAAAAGAGGAAATAAAAGCTTTTTTCCCCGCTTCCAGCCGTCGTATTCGTCCTCTTCTGCTCTCGTCTTTGTTTGCTTGCTTTCCTTTCTTCCTGCTCAATTCATCTTCCTCTTCTTCTTCTTCTTCTTCTTCTTCTTCTTCTTCTTCTTCTTATTTTCATACATTGCGGGTCATCGCTGGTAGTGCTTGTGCTTTCTTCTTCTTGAATCAGCTTTTTACCCAATCTGTAACTGGTGGACCAAATTTCATTTTGTTCAATTGGAATTATTGCATAAGCGTTATACACCATTGATTCTGGTAAGTACAATTAATAGTTATTTAAAATTAAATCATTATCATCTGATCTAGGTACCTGCAATTTTTTCAATAATTTACATTCGCGTTTCCAACACATTGTTATATATGTTGCAACAGTTGACTCTTATAACATATTATAGTCATATGTAGCAACATGTGATTTATTTTCACAACATAACAGTCATATGTAGAACCATATGACTTACATCTCGCAACAGAATAGTCATATATAACAACATGTGATTTATTTTCACAACAGAACAGTCATATGTAGCAACATATGACTTAATCTCGCAACAGAATAGTCATATGTTGCTACATATGATATAACTAAATAATGTATCAACGTGTGATTAATTTTTCACAACAGAACAGTCATATGTAGGAACATATGACTTACATCTCGAACAGAATGGCCATATGTTGCTACATATGATATAACTAAAAAATGTAGCAACATGTGATTTATTTTTCACAAGAGAACAGTCATATGTAGCAACATATGACTCAAATATGCCACAGAATAATCATATGTTGCTACATATGCTTATTCTTCATAATTAGTAATTGTTTTTTCAATTATTTTCTTCAGGTATAATGTCATTATTTGTAGGGATTGATTGTTGTTGTGAATGGATTGAGAAGAAAAATCAATTCATATGGCGTTGGGAGAATAGTAAAAAGTGAGGAGCCGGTTCAGTTGGGAGGTATGTCGAAAGAAACATTTTGTATGATGAGTTCTTCAATTTAGTCATGCAAAAGTCTGGATACAATTGTAAACTGCAAGATCTAGTCATGAGTTATATTCCCCATTTTTTCATAGTGAGAAGGTTTTACCTTTTAGAATAACTGATCAATCTAGTTTGAGTGTTTATTTGGGATGAACAAAGAAACCGTCAATATTAAGAGTCTACATGGAAGAAACTCCTATCGAGGAGGATCATAATGTAGACCAAGGACAACAAGATATGTTTAATGATGAATTTCATCCTGCGGACATGAATAATCCTGATGATGAAATTGGAATAGGTGAAGGTGAAGGTGAAGGTGAAGCTCAAGCTGAAGGGTTGGACCTTGAGAGCAAGTTTCCTCCCACACCTATAGTTGGCAGCAACCATCCACGTGCTTCTCAAACTTCAAGTGTGAATAATGTTAGAGATGATGAAACAGAATTTTATAAGGGAATGACATTCAAGAACAACAAGAACTTGCAAATTCATTAAAAATTGCTTGCTTGAAAAAAGATTTTAGACTAAATAAGGCGATCAATTCTCGAAATTTGTTTTCCTTTAAATGTTCATATCCGAAATGCAATTGGTGGCTGAGGGATGTGAAATTTACAAGTAGTGACATGTTTGCCATTAGAATCAATGAAAAGTACCATATGTGTGGTTCAGAGCATCTTTCAAGCCATAATCCCCACGCCACGACAAAAGTTATAGGTAAGTACTTTGAAAATAGGTTTCCCAATGGTAAAGGACCATCCACAAGAGACATGTCAAATCAACTGCGCACAAAATTGGGTTGTAAGGTAAGCTATTGAAAGATTTATAAGGGCATGGAGCATGCTAAGTCTAATGTTAAGGGAACACGTGAGCACGGGTATGCAGTGCTTAATGTGTACCAGTATATGCTTGAAGTTGCGAATCCAGGAAGCAAGACGACATTGCCGCTCGATGAAAATGAGAGGTTCAAGTACTTCTTTGTATCATATGCTGCTTAGATAATTGGTTTTTAAGAAATGAGAAAAGTAATAGCCGTTGATGGCACATTTCTAAGGAGCAAGTATGGAGGAGTTCTGCTATACGGTGGTGGCACAAGATGTCGAGAATCATATATTTCCAGTGGCTTTCTGTGTCGTGGACAAGGAATGCGATGCTTTATGAATTCTTTTTTCAAAATATGAGAAGCTTTGTAGAT